GGCGAAGTTGGGAGGCAGAATGAATAGGCCGACAATCTAGGCGCCAATATGGTGGCGGATCAGAATGTCAATATACGAATGAATCAAATTTCAATAAAGGAATAACCAATTGTCAATAAAGGAATAAACCAAATGTCAATAAGGAGCGGATCAGCGGCGACCATATCACCCGCTAGTTAGTTACGAATGAATAAGAATAAAACAGTATCGGCTGAATGGCTGAGGAACTCAAGTGGTGGTGGGAGAACAAAGGAGGCGCTGCTATGGGGCCATAGAATGGGAACCACTATCGGCGCTGCTAAGTGATGGGCAATGGCATGATTAACAGGCGCGGGTAACGGGTGCAAGAATGGGGGTGCAGAGAGTGGTAGAAGGGTGGGGACTTTGCAGGGCTGTGACATGGACCCAGCATTGGGTCTTCAGGGTCTGTGTGCCACTCACTTCCATTGTCAGAGTGAGTATCCATCTCAAGGATGTTTAAAATAGATGCAAAGGTGTAAGAGCTGAAAACAATTTCCATTTGTGATTTTTCAGCCATCCCTGAATATGAGTGGCAGAATAATTTAAAATTGTCAGAGCCTTCGAATGATGTTGCACATTTTTCATTTGTGTGACATAAGATACTAGTAAGGTTTGGAAGGACCCTGGCATACACTGAGGGAGCTCTGATCTAGGAGAGGGCCAAAAATCGGTCTGCAGGATGAGAGGTCTGACCTGGAGGAGGGCCAAAATTGGCTTTGGGCAGAAAAATGTTATATCCCATTGAGGGCCTTTTGGGCAGGCTGGGATCAAGCCTTGATCTGGTAGAGGGCCGAAACCTGCCGAAACTCGATGGCCGTGCATAAATTAATGAAGGTGACAAGGCTTGTCGAAAAAAACTCAGCCATCCTCAACCAGCTTCAACCTTGTTTTGCACACAAAATGTATCCTGATCCGCTAGTGCCATCAGGACTACAAAAGAAAATCTATGGACTAGGTTCATTGACATCTGTCTCTGCACTTCCACCTGTACCTTATCCTGGTGTGCCGAACCTGAATATTGTCCTTTGCCTCAGCAATAATCCTCCCGATGTCTTTTCATCCTTCACAAGAAAACAATTTTCCTTGCACAAGTTAGTGCCCCATGCTTTCCTTCATCACACCACTCTCTGATAAGAAATCAACCAAGTCATGATAATTTATTGAAATAATGGCCAAAGCCTTCTACATCAGTATACTGAAAGCGTCACCTCAATCGGGGTCCCATCCTATCTCAGTGTGCAACTATTTTCACCATTTTCTTTGTCGTCACAGGATGTTGGTCACTTTTCGAACTTTGTACCCAACCAGAATGGCCCCCCAACCACAGCATTCACTCATTTGAAGCCCAAATATGTTCTTCTATCCCTCAATCAATGCGGAAAAGTTGAATGGAAACACAATGTGATTCCATCAATACTCCACTCGCTGTGGATTGACATGTTAATTATTCCGGAGACAGTACACATTGTGTATGAGAAACTCAAGCTGAATGTCAAAGTTGTGATCTGGAAGCTGCAGGAGGGTCTGTGGGAGGGTGTGTTGGATTACGGTAGATTAATAATTCTTGCACGAATATCATTGCTAGCCCAACTGTGGTAACACCTCATGCCACCCAAGTGAAAAAAAAAAACCAATGTCTGATCCATTTGAGGGCCAAACTGGCGTTTTTCTGCAGGTCTGACTTGTCTGAGGGCCTAAATGAGGCCAGGGGACTCAAAATTTGAGGGCCAAAATGGGGGTCTTCCAATCGGACCTCTAATGGAGTATGCCAGGGTCCTGGTTTGGAGCATGACAACATTCCTATGGTTCTATGGTTCGGCTCGGTTCAGAACCGGTTCACATTTTCCCCCTAACTTAGAGAACCAAAACCAAACCATCAGAGAACTGGGTCAAAACTGAACCACAGTTCGGTTCCAGCACGGTTCAGTTCTCGGTTTGGTCCCAGTTCAAACTGGTTCTCTGAGAACCACAGCACCCCTAACCAAGATGACGTCTTCATCTTAAGCTTGCTTCTGAAGAAATTCAACACTGCTAGTGCTATAGACTTATGTCATGAATTCAACTGAGGTAAACCAGGTGACTGGACAAATGACATAAAATGGACAAGCCTGGTATCGAACCCAGGACCTCTAGCGTGCATCCATACACTACTCGCCCGTTATGCCAGGGAGGTTACTCCATCCCTGATGGTTATTCCAACAGCTTCTAGCTCACACCCTTTCGTTCCCGGTCTCGGGTTGACTGTGGGACTTGCCAGCCTCCCTTTCAGAGAGCATCTCTCCGTCACTCCCAATTCCCACACATGATCGAACTCTTGACGTTGGAACTGTCAGTTTGCCTCTTTGTGACCTCACTCCAATCCCAAACCACCATGCTGGGGCCAGAGGGAGACATGACCGAATCTGAAGGCCTGTCCCAATATGCAAATTTCGGGCCTCCACTATCATATTATAGATGGGAGATTGTGGCTTCGTGTTCCGTAATGTCATTGCATTCCTTTATACCCCAAGAAGGGCAGTTCAGTTTTTTCAAACTGATCTCCACATTAAGCCCATGCATAAGCGCCGTTTCTACAAACAGTGGTGGTGCCTTTCCTAGCTCATGGCCATCTCCCTTTTCTGCCCACCACACCCAAGACCCCTCCAGGAATGGACTAACAGCACATGGTTCTGTCCTTGGATAATAGTTGGGTCCGAACCTTTTGTTGGAGTGCAGTGCACATTCTGGAGGTTTCTGACCAGGTGACTTTCACCTGACCTATAAATGAATACTTTTCCCTTTTCTATTATCGCGGAATTATCCGCTACCGACTCTATGGACATACCCGCTCTTTCTATTCATTTCCTTTTTCCCTCAGTTCTCCATGCTATTCAGCTTGAGACTGAGGTCAGTACTACTTTCTTTCTTTCTGATTTCCCTTCATATCTAAATGTGTATTATCTTTAGTTAAACTACGCTAGGTAATGTTAACTAGTTCTCCACGCTATTCAGCTTGAGACTAAGTTAAACTACGCTAGTATTTTCACACCTTTCCTGCTGCCCAGCGACCACCATGCCATTCCCTGAAACTCGGGCCCAAGGATCATTAAGGGCTGTGTGCTGCTGCATGGTCAACTCTTGATCGCTTTCATATTTTGGGCGCTCGGGTGTTTGCTGCAACTTCATATTCATTCTAGACAATTGTAGGGTCTGAGCTGAGACCGACAAATATTCTCCACGCTCTGAGACACCAACTGGCTCAGTTGGGGGTCATGCAAACTAAAGATTCCCATTTTTTCGCGCAGCTAGCCAACCACTTCAACTAACCCACCCACATGTGAGCTTTTGATATTTACACACCACTCTCTGTTTTCTTGTCGTCACTTATATATATGGCCCCTCGATCATGATCGTACATAGGCGTCTTAAATCCCATGTAGTTTCTTCTGCACTGTTGAGTACTTTGCTCTGTTTCCACCAATCTAAATCCAGACTCCTGCTTCAGTCGTACATGACACTCATAGTTTAACTCAGAATCAACCACTGTGGGTACACTGCTTAACCCTTCTCCATACTGCCTGGCGCAATAATCCACTGCTAGTTCTTAGTGCTTCTGCCTTTGACCCAACTCAAGGGACGTGCTCTTGATGTGAGCTACTAAAAGCTCAATGGATGGGCTATGCATGCCGATCTATGCATAGAAAGGGGGATGCACGGGTAATGGGCTCTTCGCTCCCGGGTCCTCCAGAAAATTTTGCTTTTCATATCCAATATCGAAGTTGTTTGTACGAACAAGAACCCCCCTCCCCAGCCATGAAAATGATTGTCCTCAGGATTCATCGTCTCCGTTGCCTTTATCGCAACCCTTTCTGTTGATGCAGCTTCTGGATGCAGTGTCAGGGCATACACCCTGACCTAGCCCATACCGCATCCACACCCGCACTCGCACCCACACCCGTGACTGCACCCGGCTGTTGCACTCCCCGTGCGCGCCCTGTGCCGGATGCTCAGTGCGGCCGGATGGCCTGGACCTCGGGTCTCGGGTCTCATGTGACTTCCGGATATCTCCGGAAGTTTTCGATGTATTGTGGCCACTGTGGGAAGATGAGAAGTTAACTTCCTTCTCATCTCTGACCCACAGTAGGCAAGTTGTATATACTTGCCTCTCTTTTATATATCATCTCTGACTGTCACGACCTGGCGTTCCCCGGGGCCAGACAACCTCCTCCCTGACCCTCTCCCACGCCCGAACACTCCCCGCACACTCCGCTCGCCGCCCGTCGCCATCTAACCACTTCCCGCCACCTCTCCACAACCCCTCTCTTGATTGTCGTTGAACGACCTAGCGCCGCAGAGCGCCGCGACCTGTTGTCCCATGTTTCGCCGCACCTTGTTACCTCGCGGCGAAGGTCACGCTTGACCTTCGTTGTCTTGAACACGTGCTCTTTGTTTGTTTTCCTCCTTCTTGTCTCCGCCCGCAATCTCCACGAGATCTGGCGACTTATTCCCTATTCAGTTTCCTAGCGCTTATATACAGCTTGTAACTAATGCTTGTACTGTAGTTCAAAATCAACTAGAATTACCCCCTAGAGCTTACCTCTGTCCCCACGAGACCTCTGACCTTCTAAGTATCGGGACCGCGTCGAGAACGAGGCGCAACGCTCCTCCTAGAGTCGTTGAAGCCGAAATCCCGGCTCACTCGCCTAAGTAGCCTCGGCCTCGAGATCAGTGGGGTTTATCCCTTGCTAAAGCTCGGTCGGGTGTAGGACGCCTTTACCACTAGCGGGCAATGCTCGGTCGCCTATGGCTACCCTCGGCGAACCTTCGCACGATTCTGACACTGATCCACAGTAGGTTGTGCCCTGGACAGGGCTGGTTACACCTGGGACTGTGGACCATAGGGGAGGGTCATGGGGACCCGGGAGTCGTCCCCTGACATGCAGATGCTGTGAAAATACTAGCGAAGTTTAACTCAGTCTCAAGCTGAATAGCATGGAGAACTAGTTAACATTACCTAGCGAAGTTTAACTAAAGATAATACACATTTAGATATGAAGGGAAATTAGAATGAAAGAAAGTACTGACCTCAGTCTCAAGCTGAATAGCGTGGAGAACTGAGGAAAAAGGAAATGAATAGAAAGAGCGGGTATGTCCGTATAGTCGGTAGCGGATAATTCCGCGATAATAGAAAAGGGAAAAGTATTCATTTACAGGTCAGGTGAAAGTCACCTGGTCAGAAACCTCCGGAACGCGCGCTGCACTCCAACAGATGCATTCACGCACACAGTAATTTCCACTTGGCAGGGGCTCCAGCCCTCGTTAAGTATTCTACTTCTACATGGGCCCGCTGCCTGCTCCACCAGATCCTTGTACTAATCGCAGAAGGGTGGAGGACCGGTGCAATTCGATACGACCGAATATTGGCATTCCGCACCATCCAACACACGACTGCATTTCGTGCCTCCATCACCTTTTGTGCATTCTCCGCTGAGTCCAGCTGCATACCAGTGGTTCCTGGTCCCATCTACTGAGATATCCGTGTTACAAACCGAGCCGTTTGTCAAACTCCCGGAGTGAGTAATGCCAACGATCCAGTGCTGCACTGTATCTTGGCAAGCGCCTGTTAGGTAAACAATAGGTTAAGAGCAGGAGCAAATTACGTTTTAGGTTTTGGTTCAACCTACCTAGAGACCCAGGGACGACATTCCCAGGGACGATGGCCCAATCGACTTCCAGCCTGTGACTAGTGTTGCACTTGACCAAAGCAGTGTAGAAATCAGCCGCGACGATGGGAAGTATTGCGATTGAGGCAAAGGCACTCCAGAATCGCATTGTTGACTTTCAGAAAGCTGGCAGGTAGTTTGCACATGGTGTGAGAAGCCACTGTGTATGTAATGTGTGTGTGAATCAAGGAGTACTAACCTTAGTCTCGAGCGTAGCGTAGGTGCTTGGAGGACTAGAGAGAAAGGAAGGGGAACCCAGCCAGACATATATGTAGGCCACGATCCAGCCAAAAATTTGAGCAGTGAAAAATCAATCTTCTCCACAAAACACGAGAAACTACTCACCTATCAATGGCTCCAACTACACACGCGCCAACCCAGGTCACACCATCAAGTGCTAAACGCTGATTCAGACGTATGTGATCGGCATGCCACATGTTATTGGTTTTGGAATTTGACTCCGAGTGCATGCATCGGCCAGAGAACAGAATGTGTTGGCGGTTAGGGTCCTGTACATCTTAAAATAAAAGGTTTGAGCTGAGAGCGAGGGGCCGGGAGGGGTGCCCTGTTGGAGTAGCTAGTCTGACGCCATTGGTGCTGATGGCAGGCTAGCCACCAGCCTAGTGTGGCGAAGCTGAGGAACACAAAGGTTAGGCTCACGCTTTCGCCTTTTCCGGCATGCATGTGGGGGGGGGGGGGCGTTACAATTACTGAGCGTTCCGTCACGCCGCACCTAAGTTACGCAGCTTGATTTATTCCGTTACGCACAAATATATGCGGGCATTGGCTCAAGATGTTCTACGAGTGAACCGCTGGGGTATTGGGATTATGACCTAGCGGCGTTTACTTAAGCGCTAGGAGAACATATACAACGTTAGAACGTCTGACTGGTTCGTTCCAAAAGACGAAAAGAAATCTCACCTCAGTTCCAAAGACGTGAACTGAGGAGAGAGGAAAGAAAAAATGGCGCGATCAGGTGGCTTTTAAACCGTCCTCGACTGCGTACATCAACATCTGCACCAAAAGTAGAAGCACCGGGCAATCCTTCAAGGAAATGTCCGTGCGCAAGAAATATAGTCCATTCAACTCAATGGGTAGTCCACAGCGTACTACAAGGATCGAGCAAGAAAACTTCAACATGGGGGGGGACTATATTTGAAACGCCGTTTACAATAGTAATACGTCCATCGCCCAAGAGCGCGATCGCACGGTATCCAGTAAATCCTTGGTATCGTGTTCGATTCGCCATCGCGGGATTATCTTCCCTGGCCTTCCAGAGTTTCACATAGGGCATATTGCTTTCATACAACTGATCGGTAGTATTTGGGGTCATATCCAAAGATCCTTTAGTCCTCATCCCCGCTTGTTGGTGTTGATCTGGATTGCTGGCGTGCGAGTTCTTCTCTGTTTGGTCTAATTAATGATATTGTAATATCACACGTTGTTGAACAATTCAGAGGTCAGCAACCGAAGGTTGCCCATGAAACCGCCTTATGTTACTCCTACCGTCCCGATATTACGTAAAACGTGCCACTTTGCCTTTTTCGTTCATTACGTGGCTTTCACAGACAAATCTTTCGCGTGCGATCCGGTGTCTATCTATCCCCGGTCTCGGTTTGACCAAGTCCGCGAGCGAGACTTCCCGGCCCCCACCCCCCTTTTCAGGGAGCATTTCTCCATCACTCCTAACCGACGGCTCGTTTCACCCGAGCACCAATACATATCGAACTCTTGATCGCTCTCAGATTTTGATTTTGGGCGTTCGGGTTTTCGATACGACTCCATAACCTAGGAAATGGACTTCATTTTTTATTCAACATCTATATAACACTTTACTGGCTGCGAAAGGCAGTTGATCCATTCTAGACACCTGTAGGGTCCGAGCCAAGACGGACAAATCTTTTACACGGTCTGAGACACCAACTGGCTCCGTTGGGGGGGCCAAGCAAACTAAAGATTCCCATTACTCTGCATAAGCGCGGCATTGGAGCCTCTAAATCCAGGCTCCCGCTTCAGTCGTAAATGACACTCGTAGTTCAGTTTGACCTAGCTGAGGGGACGTACGTACTCTTGATGTGAGTAACTAAGGCAGTGAAAGCTTGATAGATAAGCTATGCCAGACACGGTGTTATGAATATTCTAAGCCATATCCTTGTTGCGCGTCTATCTAGTTGGGCAGCTTTCGCCTCTCGCCTCCGACGCATCCAAAGTGGGAACGGGGGGAGCGTATTACTGATCTATCCACAGAAGAGGCCTTGGGAACGGGCTCTTCGCTCCCGGGTCCGTCATGTACACATTTACGATATCGAATTTTATCTATTTAGTCGAACAAAGAACCCCCTCCCTCCCTCCGCAGCCATGAAGATGATTGTCTTCAGTAGTCGGCGGGTTTATTGTCTAGATTACCTTTATCTGTTGGCGCGGCTTCTGGATGTAGATGCATTCACGCACACTGTAATTTCTACTCGACAGGATTCCAGCTTCGTTAAAATATTCTACATAGGTCGTACGCTGCCTGCTCCACCAGATCGAGGTACTAATCACACATGGGCCAAGCGTTGCAAAGCAGCCCATTCGCATATGAGCACGATGCGCCGTCCGACGAACGGTTGCATGTCGTGCCTCCAGTACCTTGGATACACGTTGCAGTGAGCCTCGTCAAGGGGATATAGTACCGGTTCCGGAGCGTATCCACCGAAATATCAGTGCCGCACAACGAGCCGTTTATCAGTCCCCTGTGTTTATCCAGAGTAACATTCATAGTCCAGTGGTCCAATATATCTTCGCAAGCCTCTATTGGGCAAATATAGGTTAAGAGCAGAAGCAAATTTCATTTTTTAGGTTTAGTTCACCCACTTATCGTCGAAGGGTACAAAGCCCAACTCTGTTCCGGATACATCTTATGAACGTCGCAACTGACCCCGGCAGTCAAGAAATCAGCCGCGACAATGGGAAGTATCGCGATTGAAGCAAAGGCACTCCAGAATCGCATTTTGACTTTCACTAGCGGCGTGAGGAGTTATGAACGTTAACGTGCTGACCATAGAGTACTAACCTTAGTCTTGAACGAATATGCTTGGAGGACTAATGAGAAAGACCCGATCAGTTATATAAGCCACGCGCGATCCAACCAATTTGATGTTTGCAAAGTGAAAAATAATCTTCCCCACAAACGAGAGACCTTCCATTAGGAATGCAGCTGCGATCAGTGTAGCCGATATTGCGTGGCGAACCTAGATCGTTTGGCATCGTCGGCTCTCACACCACACCATCAAGCGCTAAGTATTAGTGCTCATTCGATGGGACCATGCATATATATGTAGTTAGTTTTGAAATTTGACTCCGACCACACGCAACATCCAGACACCTATTACTCATCACGGGATCAATGTAACTAGGTGTCGTAGTCAGGGGGGGTTCCGATACCTTCTTAGATATCAAATCACGTTTTCAGAGCATGCTCCCAATGCTCCCGAAATCCCTTGTATATATATAGACACTTCATACAGTCCCAACCTTCTTGGATATTAGATCACGTTGTCAGAGCATGCTCTCGGAATCCCTTGTATATATATAGATGCGAAATCACGTTTTGTGGACAGATAATGAATTGATTTCCTATGTTGGATACTCACGCTTCTCACGACCTCAACATCGCGTCTGTGTGCACAACCACACAACTGCACAACCTCAACTCTCAAGTGTCATCACCACTTCGACTTCCAGTTATATACATACTGTATACACTGCACACACATCGCATGTTCAATGCACTAATAAACTGTACAGCATCTAACGGCTCCATCACGTGTTTTCTTTCAACCATCATACCACTCTTGCCAATGCCATCGACACCCACAATGCCAAAATCAAAGGGCAAAGCTAGGCGTGTTAACACAAATTTCGTAAATGACACTTTGAATACGACCAAATCTGGCCTCATTGTGCGGAAGACAGCCTGGAGGCAGTTTCAAGATGCTCAGTCATCAATCCTCAAAGGTGATGTAGGTTGTAGATAATGAACCCAAGGTCATAACCACCCCCTCAGATGCTTCTCCAGCTGTTTCATCACTGGTAGATGAGATCAGAAACGATGTTGACCTTACTGGGAGTGTGTCAGGGCACGCTGCCACCGCCGCCGCCGCTGCCACCTCCTTTTCCTTTTGTCTCATTCCCTCATTCTCTCTTCTTTCCTTCTTCTCTTTTTCTATCTTTATACAGACGACCTCTCTTTCTTTCCTACCCTTGTAGCACAGATGCGTCCGACGCCGAGCACCCCATAGGGGCACTGCAATGCCGGATGCGCCGCGCACTTCTACTTGTACTTCCCCTCCAACACTCGGGATCAACCGCGGAACCACCCGCGGTAACCCGGCTTCGTCCGAGGGTGACGTGGCAACCCCACATGACCCATTCACACATGTATATAAACTAAGCCGAAGCAGGACCGAAGAAGTAACCTTCTTCTCATTTCCCGCTTCAGGCAAGTACCCTAGTTTAGTCTGGCTTCCCACCCTAATAACAATACATTTCCCGCTTCAGCCTAAGAAGCTACACAGGGACGTAAGCCCGAGTAAGGGCTATCCACTATACAGTCTCACCACCCCGCCACCGTCCGGGCCGCTAGCGCCGAGCGTTACACCACTACCTCTGCCTTCCTCGAGTCGTCCCTGACAGAGTGATGCCTGGAATGTCGGTCTCAATGAGACCGCAACTGACTATTCCTCCCTAGACATGACTTATGAGGATCTTGCAGATGTAATAGCACTGCTCCAACCAAAGCAGTAGGCACCATTTTTTTCCATCCCATTGCTCCACCCGAGTCAACCTCTTTTTTGTAGTCGAAGCAGAGGAATTTCATGGTGCAATCGAATCAATGCATCACAGGCACACTGGGCAGCATTAATACCCAGTCTGTCCGACATTTATCTCAAGTTCAAGACCAGCAATCCTCAATGTACGCTGCTTCATTACTGCGAACCACCAGAAGGTTCAGATTTCGTTCATATCTATGCTGTCGACATCTTTGGTATGTCTTTCTTTTGTTTCGACAGGGGATACTCATTCTCCAAAGACAGTGTCAGGGCACACACCCTGACTAGCCCGGACCCAGACCCGCATCCGGACCTGCTGCACTTCCCACATGCGTGCACGCTCCGCACGCTGCATGCTCCGGGCCCGGTTCCTACTCCTTCATGTGACTTCCGGGTATCCCCGGAAGTTTTCCTGATATGGTGGCCACTGTGGGAAGATGAGAAGTTAGCTTCCTTCTCATCTTCTTACCCACAGTAGGCAAGTTGTATCTTACTTGCCTTTATCTATTACATCTTCTTACCCACAGTAGTTGTTGCCCTGGATAGGGCTGTTCATAGGTCAGGCTGTGGACCATAGGGGAGGGTCATGGGGACCCAGGAGTCGTCCCCTGACAGACAGCCGCTCATATGAATACTGTCAGGGCACACCCGCCTGACCCGGTTCCACCCGGGCCCACCTGGGCCCACCTCACCTGCTCCCCGCTACCCATCCTTCCTCCTTCCTCCTTCCTCCCTCTTCCCTTCCTCCCTTTCCTCCCTTTTCCCTCTTTCCTCTTTCTCCTTTATTTCATTCTCCCTTTCTGTTTATTCTTTCTATTTACACGGATGTCAGGGCACGCCTGCCCGACCCCGCGCCGCGCCCCATGCCGGACCGCACTACCCCGCTATCACTCCCCGTCTCTCCTCCACTTTCCCCTTCCTCTCTATCTCTATTTCTATTTCTATTCTACGGTCGATTTCCCTTTCTTTATGTACCACTACATACCTAACCCTGCCTCCCCGATTGCCGCACGCACCGTGCACACCCCCGCCTACTGAGTGGCCACCTTCGGGATCTTCTGCGGAGACACCCAGGGAGGTGCGGCTGTGTGCGGAGATGATGTGGCTTCCCCCACGTGACCCTAGCCGCATATATAATAGTGCCTGGGGTGGGAACAGAAGAAGCAGCCTTCTTCTCAACTTCCCACTTCAGACTAAGTGGTCGGGGACGCTCACCCCGCGACGGGATCGCCGCTACGCACAGCCGCTACTCATCCTACCGAGTCCCGCGCGCAGGGACCTCGCCGCTTTCGGAGCTGTCCCTGACAACGGACCACCTTCCCTTGTATCATTGTACTGTTGACCCATCTGGCTCGGACACCCCGGACGACTTCCTGCTATGCCTAGCATGCGCGCCTGCAGCAGATGCCCTCGGGATCCCCCGCAGGGATACCCAGATGGCTGCGGCTCTCTCTGTAGATGACGTGGCACCTGTCATGTGACCCAAGCCGCATGTACATAAATGTACCTGAAGTGGGAACTGAAGAAGTAACCTTCTTCTCACGTTTTCCACTTCAGGTAAGTAGTGTAGTTCTTCCTTTTAATAACAATTCATGTTTTCCACTTCAGTCTAAGTGGCCAGGGACTACAGTCCCAGATCGGGCCCATCAGTACGCGTGCCCACTTCGCTCCCCGAGAGGGTCCCTCTGCCGGGCGCTACATCCAGGCCCCCTCCACCCCGGACGCATCCCTGACAAATACATACCTCAGGATCCGGGTGAGGCCTCACCGACATTTGCCCTTCTTCGTGCCGGTTACATCCCAGCCACTCCCATCAATCCAACCCTCGCAATTCGATATGCTCACTTGAACTTCTCCACTGTCTGATGCGCACATCACCGAGCTTCAGTATTCAGTCATTTACCTGACTGCTGGCTGATTTACATTGTGTGAGTGTACAAATGATAGAATAGTACTCTCCGCGGTGCTGACAATGCCCTCCCCCAGGTCGTATATCAGCCATACCTTCGTACACAGGTCTCACTTGCTTTTGAGGCATATTATGCTATCATCACGAGAGTGAACGCCTTTGTAAAGCATGTCATGGGGCACGATACGCCAGATTATTGCCTCAAGAACTCATGTCCTGCATGCCATTACAAGGTATGTCACATCCTCCCCACTGATGACTCGCTGACATGTTCCATGGTAGCTTCACAATGAGCCCAAGCGCCCCATCGAGTTAATTGTTACTGGCGATGGAAACACTTCCCTTTCACGCCATCCACACCAATATGAATCTGACTGTCGGACTTTTTTTAGTGATTACTTTTTACTTTGATCAGAGGTAGATGCATTTCAAAATACCAAGAAACAATCTCAGCTTGACTCAACGGTATAGTACATGTCCACTTTTTGAGTAACCACGAAACAGCATCAGCTGTGATATAGACAGGACCAAGCGACCCACCTCCCGAATCGTGCATTGGCTGGAAGAACTCTTGGCCAATGGCTCAAACAACAAAGGCTGGATCCCTCAGCGTTATGGATGAAATGGGCATATTTTTAGTTATTTGCTGCCATGGTATTGTCCAGTTTATCATGGATATGGTCAAAAGTGGGGAATTGTGAGTTACTTTCATTCTCGATTCTCCCTTTCTTTCTACACCTATTTACTCTGGATATAAGAGCGAAGTACCCAGTGGCAGCAGCAAACAAACTGATAAGTACATTTTGCCACAACATCCTCTTCGCTTATGATGTTGGATGCACCTTCTCCATCACACTCACCTGCTCTACTATTGGCGATGTGGCACGTCAGGCCAATTTCTTGTGCTGTACCGGCTCCTTTCACAGTGTTGCCCACAGTAGGTTGTGTCAGCTTGATCACCTCATAGGTCTCAAAGAAGGGGTGGGCATCGAAGATGGGGAAGGCAATGAACGGGCATTCTCCTCCAGTAATGGCGTTGCAGCAGTAACCCGGCACGCATCTGCGCATTACCGCCACTTCCGGGTCCACCTTCATTTTGAGAAGTGGGACCAGGATAAGTACGAGCGCTTAGGTGAGGATCGGCACCACTCACATTAACTAGTTCTGACCCAGGGATAGGCAACTTTCTATTAGGGAACCATACCTCTGCATGGACACAGATCCGCGAATCCATGGATATCTTGGAAGCAACGAAATGCATGCACCCATCATTCGATTTCGACCAGGACTGTCCACTATTTCTGCGAGAAGAGAAGGAATACATTGCATTGCTGAGGTCTGAGCCAAAGGCTGAACAAGCCAAAATCGAGTACCTTGAAGCACTGGAGCGATTAGAGAATGCTGAGTGAGTCGCTGCCTGCATAATGTGCATACCACCTACAAATCTAAGTAGGTCAGAGCTTCGGCCTCTGTTATCGATGCTATCTGCATCACCAACCTCGGAACTCGCCTACCAAGCTTTGCATGCTCAACGCAAAGTGGAGGATGCACACTGTATTGTCTCTGCACTGGAGGCAATGTCATCTCTCGCCTTGCCCTGGCTTGAAAACTGTCCTCAATGCCAGGAAGCCATCCAGTTGTGTAATGAGAGAAAGTATCATCGCCTTCTTGATGATCTGGAACATCGTGCTATCTCTCGTTGGTTTGAGTTGGAGAAAATGGGTCTTCCAAAGACCGGTGAGTACTTCATTATAGTTTTCAGATATTACATCAATTTTTCCATTCATAGACTACAAAACCCATCAACATATATCACAGTTGGTCGGAAAACGGAGCAGGACGCTTCATTCCACCCTTGAGAAGTACAACACCGCTGCCGCAGCAATGATGCCTCCGAAGCCATCCCTCACTTGGGATGACATAACCCATCCTGACTTCCCAAGTACAGTTGAACTATTATGGGGTCGTGATGATATTCGGAGTTGTGAATGGACGCAGGAGCATTTCCATGCAGCAACCCGCGCATGGGCAAGACTCCAACGTGCAAAAGAAGAACTTGTTACCATTGGAGTTGAAACCTGCAGGATACTGACCTCTATGAGGGATGAGGAACTACAGCTCAAGATAACTATCGAGGCTGTGGCTGCTAGCAACCCAACCCTTGCATCATATATCTTGATGGCTTTCAAGTGGCGTGTCGAAGCAAATGCCCACCTCTGCAAGAAATTATCGTGCCTCGAGTCCCATCCATATTATCTTTCCCCACGTGGAACTGGTACTTCTGCTCACTCTGAGTGGGTGCCTCCAAGCAACTCCGATGTCAATCAACAACTCAGCGTTGAACCCAATTTGCCTTCTGGGAATGAGACAGCTGACAAGGGAAACAGTGACAATATGGATGATGGGCTATCTGAGGAAGAAGGTGAAGAGCAGTCACTGTTGGAGGAACCATGTGCTATGAGGGTACTCCAACGGAGCTAACCTGAACAGCCACATTCCTGCGTTAGTGTGGGAACATTCTGGGAGAGCAACTCGCCCAGAATCCACCATGTGACTACTTTGTCATAATAATTCGTAAAAAATCGTAAAAATTCAGGTCCTTCTATTTTCTCATATCTACTTGTCGTATGAGGTTTTGTGATTTATCTGGCATATTTCCATAATGGGTTTCCATAGTGTGACCGTTATTTCTCCTACACCAGGCATCTCCATAAGAGGTCTCAGGGGTGTCCGGTGTGTAGGGCATCACCTGGTGTGTCTGGGTCCAGGTGTGTTGCGCAGTCTGGTTAATGGTACATTGAGCAAGGAAGTCGTCTGTGTAATAGAAAAGGAAAGAAGGAGAAAGAAAGGAAAGAAGAAGGAAGAAGAAGGGGAAGGAAGAGGGGGAGAAGGGAGGAGGGAGGATGGGGGCAGCGGGTGAGGGTAGTGGAGTCAGGTGGGGTCGGACCGGATGGAGTGGGGTCAGGCGGGTGTGCCCTGACTGTCAAAAACCCGAGTTGGAAGAGGGGTAAATGCGTGAGTCCGAATGCAGGCGGGGCTCAACTAGAGGGGGGTCCGAGGGCTCCGGTGGTGAACCGAAGCTTCTCAGGGAGCCTGGTTCTGCTGGATGGTACAAGAGGCTCTAAGAAGGATGTGGCCTCAGCGACTCGGAGGGAGCGCTGTGCCTCCGTTACGTCTCAGTTAGTCCTTGTATTTCTTATGTCTGAGGTATCTTGTAGAACGGAAATAGGGATCACTCAGAGGGACTTTGGGTGGCATTTTAGTCGAGATTAGAACTGAGGAACTACAGGTTCTAATCTATGGGTATTTATAAAGGAGAATGGGGAGGACTTAGTCAAAGTCCGAAATGACAAATGGGACAACACCGAAAGGTACCGAATGATACCGAGAGGTACCGAAAGGTCCCGAACGATATTTAAAACGGGGAACCGAGGTGTCAGGCCAAGGAGGGCGGAGTTGGAGGCCGGAAAATGAATGGGGAAGACAAATGGGTTAAAGGGGGTTAGCCGACTGAATGGTAGTAAGAAGGTAGTCGTGCTAAGAATGGAAGGTGACTAATAAGTGATAACGTGAGGGAGATCACCGAAGGATGCGGGTAGCTCTGAGAGCGGAGTTGCGTATCCGAAGGATGTTAGGTGACTCCAATAAATGAAATGGGTGGGGGAATGGTTTAAGGGCATGTCACGGGATATCGGAGGTCCGTTGGGATATCGGAGCAAATCCGGGGTCTCCGAATGTTCCGACTCAGGAACGAGCTTCCGGGATGGGAGTGGCCAAGGTTCGGTGTGCCGCAACCAGACCGGAGCTGAGACAGTCAGGAGGGAAGGTGACTTGGGGAGTGGGGAGGCATGGTGTAGGGGATGGTGAAGTTGTTAGGAAGGTGTGGTGTGGTGGGAGTGCGCAGGGTCGGGATTCCGGGATATGACACTGACACTGACTAGAGTAAACAGCAACAATAAACCCACCTTGGCATGCCATGAGGCTGAGGGCGGAAACTGTGTTTAAGTGGCACCTACACTTGTTCGCTTTTAGGAATGGTTGGGATAGTGATGAGGTGAAGGTTCTGGAGGACTCTGGTGTCAGCGACACATTTTTGGAGTCATTTTGGTGCGCCCAAAAAGCTAACTGTGAGTCGTGCGATATTGATGTGCATCGTTTCAGCCTGGCCACCCAACTAATTCCAGTGAGGGACCCCATTAAGGGGGATAATTTGAAGGATAGGGTGCCCGCCGATGTTCTAGAGGCCGAGATTAAACGACTGGCTCGCGAACATGTTTATAAACACCTCGAAAAGATTGACAGCTTGCTCAAGACCATGGCACCCACAGTGAGTATATATACAATTATAGTTGTGTGAATTACTCAGCGCTGCATTGTAGATGAGAGTCCTTGATTTTTATGGGCTGCCCAGTTTGTTCATGATCGACTGCGAGCGAGAAAACCATGGCGTGCGTATCCTTGCATCACAAGGCCTAAAGGACCAGCGTGAATGGGACGAGTTAAGGAGGGAAATAATACAGCAGCTCAAATCGCACCAATGTCCAATGCAGGCTCGACAACCGTGATCACACCCTACCACCCAGGAGCCCAGACTTGCTCTATTCTCCCAATCCCCCCATTGGCAACCAAACTGAAGATCTTCCTCGATCACACTCCAGTTCCCAAGCCCGTCTGAACGCTTCCGTGGCCAGCTGGCGGTCTGGAGTCCAGCACAGTATGTCAGCGTCTGGGGTACCTTCTGTCCAAACGCCGACCTACTGACAAGTGGTGGATGAGCCACCCATACAAATTCCATCTTATCCTTCTCATCACTCCCAGACTATCGAAGCATCCTTAGCGACCAACTTCCGCATGCCCCGCTTGCCCGCTGAAGGAGCGGAGCTGGATCACCTTATGTAACCAGTTTCCTACGTCCAATAACGATATTAGAGTGTGTGCTGATTTGCGTACTGACCGTGTTTTGGTTGCCAAATATATAATTGTTCACTGTCTAAACAACAATAAACACCCCCCAACGATCTCACCTGACGTATAGATCGTCTATGAATAAAATTCTATATTGACTTTACTATGATTTCTAGTCAATATTACACCTAGATATACCACTTTTCAGTAGGACGTGATTTTCCTGATAATTTACTGAAGGAAAACTACTAATAAAATAATTCCACAATAAATGTTATTCAATACAGGAGTGACCAAACTGCTCTTTCTATCGCTTAGAGTGCGTGCTAGTTATCTAGCAGGTTCAGGATCGCTCACTTTTCTCCTGTGGTGTGATAACCAAATATTGCTGAGAGATTATTCAATTAAGAAGTCCCTCCACCAAATTCTCACTAATTCTCACTATGACACTTTTGTTCAGCTGTGTCTAACTGACCCTAACTCACGCTTAGAGTGACGTGTTAGTTTTATATTAGCTAACAACTAATATTTGCTTTTATCTTTTGGAGCAAACGAACCAACCACTGGTGAGGAGAATTAAACTTTTATTTCTACCTCAGGTTTGAGAGGGGGCAGAAGCGGTGGCCTTTTATGCTTTTCAGAGGCCTCTCTACTCCCACGCCTCGCACTAGTTACATGTGCTACATTTGTATTATAGATAGTTCTAGAATGATATAGGGGCTTGGGCTGTGTAAGCTTAATAATGGACTTAGGACATGACTCAGCAATAAGTAATTCATTTCTTTGTCTTTTGGGCCGATCCTAGCGGGATCTTGTAGCGCTGAAGCTATGCTCTACACCGCCTTAATTACGAACGGTTATCTTTAGAAATGACTCGGCTATAAAGGAACTTTCTAGGCTGTTCTCTAATTGACCCCTTTTTGTGAAGCCACATCATTACTAATGTTCTAGAGCCTTCCCAATTAATTAACTGATCCGCGGACTTCTGAATCACTTTATGCTTATGATCCGAGATCCAGATCATCAATCATTCCTTTGTTCCGATTTATTTGAGCTTAAAATCAAAAAGTTTTGATGAATCATGGGAAAATATACAAGATCCGGTTTTTTAGCATTTTCTCCTCTTCTGATGCGATCAAAAACTGTCCGCCCGCGCCGGGGAATACTCTATCATATGGTATTCGGTCCGCCAGACTTCCGGGCGCCAATATATTTCCCTTGAGTCACATTACCTTTTGTAAGAATTAGCAAATAAATATATATGAATTATAAGGTGTTTCGCCGTTTGAGCGATATCTCCGTCAGTTTTGAAGCTTTTAGAATGAAACAAAACCGTGGATAAAGTTTAGAAACAGTCCTTTCAGATGGTAAAAAGATTACAGTCAAAAGTTTACTGGTTCCCGAGATATTCACATTTCTTTCCCAATGTTCCTTCTTATTCTGCCGTCTATGTGCTATTTTCTTGTTGTAGGGTTATATTCTTTGAATATTACACCTATGCCAAGTTCTAGGCATGATTGTAGTAGATTAAATCTCATACAGTGCTCCAAAAAACTGTTGCAATGTTTTGCACCTTTCACTTGATGAGCTTATTGCACCCTAGGAATGGATCCTAAAATTGCATAAAAATATGAAAACAATGCGCTAGTAGCTTACTAATAACTCCACCAACTATCTAATAAATATGTTCATTTTTGGTAAAGCTATTTACTTTACAAAGGACCCATGTCATTGCAACGGTTTTTTGGTGTGCATTTTGGAGAAAGGAAAATCACATTAACTAGTATTTAGTATAGCCACCTTTTTCCCTAAGTACTGCCTCAATCCTCCTAGGCATACTCTCGATTAAATTCTGGCAGACACTTGGTTCTATCCTCTCCCACTCCTGAAACCAATCCCACAGCTCATGAACACTACTTGGAGGTTCTTCATACTCCCCAAGCTTCCTCTTTACATGGTTCCATAATTGTTTGATTGGATTAAGGTCTGGGGACTGGGAGGGCCACTCCATGACCCTGATACCATGGTTATTGAACCAGTTCTGGGCCCTTTTGCTGGTGTGTTTTGGGTTGTTGTCCTGTTGGGAAAGGATGTGGGCTGGGTTTTTGTCATAATATGAGAGGGTTTGCTGGAAGTCCTCTTCCAGGATTTGGCAGTAGAGCTTGGCATCCATCCTCCCATCAATATTTCATGCCATTCCAACTCCATCCAATGTAATACATCCCCAAACCATGACAAAACCACCACAAAACTTTTTTGTTCCTTGCACCAGCCTGTCTGTAAGAGGTTCATCCACCCATTTCCACACCCATTTCCTCCCATCTGAGCCCAGGCGATTCACCTTAGTCTCATCAGATCACACCACTCTCTTCCAATCCTCCAGAGTCCACTCTTTGTGGCTGATTATGATGTCCATTCTCTCCTTATGACATCTGCTGAGGAGCATGGGCTGCTTCTTCTTCACCACTGCTTTCCAACCAGCCTCCTTTAGTCACAGACGAACAGCCTCAGTTGAGAGGCTAGTGCTGGTGACTTTTTGAAGAATTCAGGTGACTTGTGCAGCATTGTTGGCTTTACCAGAGTTGATAAGATGCATTGCATGACAGATATTGGTGTCTGAGAGCTTAGATGGGCAACCACCACTGGGCTTAGGAGTGTCAGGACAATGTTTAGACCAAATATGGGTAACAGTGGAATGGTGGACAGCAGTAATCGATAAGCACTGTGGCCAGAATCAATGAGAAAAAGCACTTGTTCAATTTTCAAAGCAGCCAATTGATGCATTTTAGAATTGGGGATTACAGCTTGAAATGCATGTGCATTTATGCTCCAGCAATGTTTATTTGTTTACTAGGGTGTATAGTAAACAATATCACATGACCTATCACATGATATTTTCAGTTTTAGTCCATTCTGGCAGCACACCAAAAAACCGTTGCAATGACATGGGTCCCTTGTGAATTAGATAACTTTACCGAAAATGGACATATTGCTTACATAATTGGTGCAGTTATAGACAAAATACTAACACATGTTTAACATATTTATTTGAAAATTTAGAACCCTTTCCCATTGTTTAATAAGCTCTTGAAGTCAAAAGTGCAAAACATTGCAACAGTTTTTTGGGGCACTGTACTACATGGGTGTAGATAATTTATAATGATCTAATGTCTGTCCAGTCTCATAAAGATCATGAGATCTGTTAAACGTCTGAACTTGTCACCTGTTCGTTGACTATTCTGATAGATCATTGTTTTATTCTTTGAATATTATTTCTCCTACACCGCCACCAATGGAGGAGTTATGCCACACCATCATACAGCAGCCACCAGTGAGGCCACCAGTACTGGTCAGCAGAGCAGAAAACGCACCATGGGCACTGGCTCGAGTTTGACTACTGATAAACCAAGCACGAAAACCAGTAGCTGGACAGAAGTCAGTGATTCAATTGATGACAATGATGCAGCTGCTCTCGAGGAGTTGCGGTGGAGTTTGACAGACAGTTCACTTCAAGTACCAGTGGAACGCAGAAGGTCTGCTGAAACTAAGGCTGAGGTGGTATCAACCCCAGACTCCTTCATCTCACGAGCTCCCCTATCTCTCTCTTTGCCAGTTCTCAGCCCACCAGGGATACACACCCGTAGACGAGCTGGACACGCAAGCATTGCAACTGCCAGTACGACCAGCACAGACATCTCAATGCTTTTGCAGTCCATCAGCAACAGAAGCTCCACTCAACTTAGCGATGCCGATGTTCGGGCCATCAGTACCCTTTGGCTTAGTGATGCATTGAGTGCGGATGATCTCTCCCACATTCTGAGGAGTCAGTTCCACATTAGTGAGGAATTTGTGCGCTGCTTGATCCATGTGCACCAGGCCTGGATGGAGGATGGCCACTAGAATCACAAACCCCCACTTCTTCATTTAAAAAATGTATCTATGCAAATACGTCTATGCAAAAATCCAGTGCTTAAAATTAGTGGGGCCACAAGCTCAAAAATATTGTTTACTGACTGACCCAGAGCACGTGTTTCCGTGTGTGCTTACGCTCTCCATGTCATACTGGCCATCCCAGTTTAGCGACTATGGCAGCATCAATGCCACCCAGAGTCAACCAGAAAAGCAAGATCCTAAGGTGACAAAAGAGGCATACAACCACCGCATTCAGGAATTGAAGTGGAGGTTTGAGGAAGATGTAAATGCCATTGCAAACGAATTTTCAGGTCAGCACGTACATCGTTCCGCTGCTCAAATTCGAGGCCAGATCCTCTATACGATGGCAGAGGACAAAAAAACCCGGAGCCCGCATATTAGCAATGCATGGGCCCACACCACTGCAGATGTGGGTCGCCTAGACAGTAAGCCCAGGTTGCTTGCCATCCATGTGTTGAACAAACCATTATTTTTCAGCGGAATCGTTCACAGACATGCCATACGATACTGCTTACATGGATTTGTTAAGGGATATCAAGATGGGGGTGGTTACCCAGGAGGATGTGGGCAATCCTCAGACGCCTGAGGATGAATACAACCACAAGTTACTGCTGGACGCAGTCTTGGTCAGTCGCCAACACTGTATGGCCAAGAGGCACATAATATCGCCTGAGCTTAGTGCCCACCGACTAGCGCTTCATGCAAAGGACCAACTTCAAGAAACTGTGAGTAATCACTAATGCGCAATCAACGATTCAGCAATAGTACTTACACTTGCATTAGGCTACCCCCATTCATGAGACATGCGGCATTGAGGTCCTTATCATGATGATGAAGAGCCTGGTTGAGGACATCTTTACCCCGTATGTGTGGGCAACACCGCATGCCAAGGAGTATTGGGCGGTTGGGGTGGCCCAAAACATGACTTCTCGTGCCCAGGAGATGGAAGGCTTCTGTATATCAAACGTTAGAGGTAGGCATGGCAGCCTAGCATGGACATGGGCTCAAGCAGATCGGACTGCCTAGGCATGGCCAAGGTCACTGAAGAGACGATCAAGGAACTACGTATCAGGCTAGCTAGCCTAACAACGGATAGGCTTCGTGAGTAACAATCTGTGCAGATCAGCTTGATGCTTACTAGATTTACCAGGCAGTGCAGCGAAGGACAAATTCGTTGGAATGAAATGGGAAAGGGAAGGGTATCTTCAATTGGTATCTGGCTTGAAGCTCAAGATCGATTCATACCTGTTTGATGAGACAAAGGCACCAAAGTGGCTTAGAAAGGCGGAGTTGATGAAACTAATTGAAGGGTGGGAGCGTGGACCTATCAAGTGGGTAACAGCATCCAACGACGAAATCAAGAGTGCCCAACGAGAACTATCTCGACTTGCAAGGGAGAAAGTGGATCGTACGGTGTTGTGGGGACAACTCCGTGTACTGCAAAAAGTCGGATTCTGCGGAATTTGGTCACTAACACGCAGTACATATCCGCTGACGCTCCCGATACTCATTCTATCACTATCCAACACTCCATACACTCACTCCATATTTTTCCATATTTTCCCCATCATTCCCGACAGCCCCAAGCCAAATTCCCACGCCCAACCATGCCGCCAATTTCACCCCCTCTCCAGATCTCCATAACCACACATACAGCCCAGCCATTTTTCTACCCGTTGGTGATGCTATACCTTCCTCCTTTACCCCCGGAGCACTTCCCAGAATGGCAACCCCATATTCGGATGGCTCAGCATGGTGTATAGCCTCATGTGGTCTTGACAGCACCTGTCAATGGCCACATCTCAAGAAGTACTGCACCAATTGGGATGAATAAGGGCTCGTTGGAAAGCTGGAGACGAGGAGGTTGCTGACGGGAGGATAGGCGGGCGCTGTGGCGAACTGTTGCGGAGTTAATTTTCACAATTTCCATTTCGGACCCGTTATCATATATTCCCCATTCATTCATATTTCTTTTATTGTTTCTTTGTTCCCAATTGGATATTCATCATTTATGGTTGCCTAACGGCCCGTTTACATTCCCCCATTCCATTCATTCCATTTCCAACTCATATAAAATAGATAACAGCTTGGACATAACAAGTTAGTATTGAATAGACCCGTGAAGGGACAAGCAGAAGTTGCATCCAAGTGGCAAAGATGCCATCCACGACCCTAACGCCCCCCTTGAGATTGTTGCTCACGTCTAAGACCCCTCTCATCATAATACTCAGCCTTGACATCCAAGAGAGACATAGGTGAGTGTTTGTTTGAGGTTTTTGCAGACTCGGTAGTGCCCCAGGACCAAAACCCGGCTCCACGAACCACACCCATGCACACGACCACCCTCCCCCTTCTCTCTGTCTCGAGTCTAGGTGATAGACCCGTTACAACGGTGAATCGTTGACAGAGGTGTGTTGGTTTTATCACACTTTGGCTGCAAGGCTCATTACTGGTGCGACACAGTGCTACAAACGAGGCCAACAGCAGCACATCTACACTAGATACATAGGTTGTTAAGCTGCCTCAAGCACGCAAATCTGAAATGGTGCTTTTAAGCATGGGCCATGGCCAATCCGGAGTGGCGCTTAACTCCTCCCCCATCCCACCACCCTCAGGAAGGGCTGCCAGCACTACAAGAGGGTAAGGGGCACTTTGCATCAAATAGACATGTGGCAAGTAACTTTCAAATGCTCTGTGATTGTGATAGACGAAAGCGTAAAGCTACTAACCTTCAAAATGCTCCCAAGTCCATTGATTAACCAAGTACCCTCTGAAGTGTGAGACAAGGACATTGACATGTCTAGCAAGCACGCAGATGGATCATGGGAGTAGTGCGCCACCAGTACTTCTTTACATGGCACAAAAAACTCAGTTCTACTGAATACATGTATATATTGGTCATTGATATCATACTATTCATTCATTAGAGAGGAAGACAACAAAACCAAAAAAAAAAAGAGAGAAAAGAGAATGGATGTGCTGGAGGTTGAAGTTGGTGATGACGCTTGAGAGCTGAGATTGGGTGCACAGATGTGACGTTTGTCAGGGTCGCGTCCGCGGTCGAGGCGGTCCGGGCGTAGCGTCCGGTGCTGAGGACCTCACGGGGGGTGGATCGGGCGTGCGTACTGGCAGCCCCGATGTGGGACGGCGATCCCTGGCCACTTAGACTGAAGTGGGAATGTTGAGTTGTTATTAAAAGGGGAACTATGCTACTTACCTGAAGTGGGAATGTTGAGAAGAAGGTTACTTCTTCGGTTCCCACCCCAGGTGTGTTTATATACATGCGGCTTGGGTCACATGAGGTCCGCCACGTCACCCCGCATACAGCTGCAGTCACCCGGGTGTCCCCGTGGGGGATCCCGAGGGTGTATGCTGCACGCGCGCGCACTAGGTTGCACCCTAGAGCCGTCCGGGGTCGTCCGGGGCTAGGCACGTCGTGTGTGCGTCGCGGGCGGGTCAATAATACATGGATATAAGGGAAAGGTCGTCCGTGTGAAGTAGAAATAGAAATAGAAATAGAAATGGAAATAGGAGTGGAAGTGGGAGAGGGATAGAGGGGGAAGGGGTATGAAGGAGGGGTGCAGGGTGGGAGAAGGGGAACCGGGTGAGGTGGGCCCGGGTGGAGGCGGGTCAGGCGGGTGTGCCCTGACAACGTTGAAGTTGTGGGATGTAAGCATGAGAAGGGTTCGAGGCCATCCAACTTAGGAAGTCAATTTATTGTCTCAAAACCCGTGATTTCACGTCTGAACTGTATGAAGTGTCTATATATACAAGGGATTCCAGGAGCATTGGGAGCATGCTCTGAAAACGTGATTTGATATCTAAGAAGGTATCGGAACCCCCCCTGACTACAACACCTAGTTACATTGATCCCGTGATGAGTAATAGGTGCATCCAGAGTACATCCTGCAAAAAATCACGTGTTTGACGGATTCACAGAAATATGAAAATGATGATATTTGTTTTTGAATCCGCCAATTACAACATTGCGACATGAAGGAAATGAATAGGATTCAATGCATGGGCAGGCACCCGGGCCACCTCCATAACTGTGGGGCATTCAAGGGAAGGGAAAAGAAAGTTGCATACAGTAAGGAGAAAATAGTGGATGAAGGGGAGTGAGGGAATTGCTGAGGCCAGAATAACTATTCATATAGATGAATTGGTTCAAGGTTTCTAGTGATGATGGTTTGGCTTAGTGGCTACTGCTGGCTTCTCTTTGATTCTGTGTCTACAGGGTTCTTGTCATATCCCAGATTCCCAACCCTGCATTATCCTACTCCCCTACATCTGTTGGAGGAACAACCTCAAAGCATGTATTTACTATTGTTTTGTGGCAATCCTTCCTAATTAAGAGTCTGCCATATTCTCGTCCAGCTGCCCTCAACTTGGTTTTCTCTATAGGTTATGAGCCCAGGCGGCTTGCCTGGCACCTTGGACAACCACTATGTGGGCCTTTATAGGGGGGACCTCAGGACATTTGCATGGGGCCTAAAAGGCCTTTTTCACTATAAACATCCTAGGACATCCTGTCAGGGTTCAGTGCCCTGCCTTAGGGTGCCCCAGACTCCCCACCTACTTTACCCCCTTTATTCTTTGATTGTTGCCTCATTGTTGCCTTTGTGTGTTGTATACATGCGCACACGGGATAGCGTGGGAACTTTCTGAGCGAGCAGCTCGCTCAGAATGTTCCCACAGTGTTATAGAGATGGACTAGATTCTTATGGTCCGTGACTGCAAGTAGGTAGGTTGTCTCTGCCCTCCATTATATTTCTCTGTCAAACTCCATGCCAAGCTTTCCCACTGGGTTTTGGTGCTGGCTGGGGGAATTGTTAAGTTTCAAGGGACTTCCCTTGACCATTGAGACTTTGATATTAGATAGAAACCAGTCATATGACATGTAAAGGCAAATGCCGAGGATGTTGATCATTATCAAATACATAACCCAAAAACCTTGTACCGCGATTGTAACATCCTCACCATTGTGCCACCACTGTAAACTCAACCTGTAACCCTGGAACCATGTCCACCTCCCTATTCCTCCTCTCCATGACAAAACCGCAGCGAGGAGGGCATTCCCACGCCCAACCTCCTGCTGCCCGCTCCCACCAGTCCACCGGGTGGTTGAGTGGTCACTCCCATCCAACCAGAAGTTCCCTATCAGGAACTGTAGCCTATCCCACCTCCTTAGGAGAGGGATATAGTCCAGGCAGCTCCAGAATGTCTGGCCCCGCACCCACGGGTCCCACTTCCCACGGTCACTCACTACCGTGCACTGGTCCACCAGCCCGCTTTCCCCAACAACCCCCGCTACCGGTACGCTCCCATGAGCGCCAAGTCACCGATAGCCACCAACTGGGTGACTCCCTTTGGGAGTCCCAGTATCCCATGCTACCGGTACGCTCCATTGAGCGCCAAGTCACCGCTAGCCAACTGCTCCCAGCACACCCGCTACCGGCACGCTCCCAGGAGTGCCAAGTCCCCGTTAGCAGACAGCCAGGTGGCTCCCTCAAGGAGCCCATGTCATACTCGCTACCGGTACGCTCCCAGGAGCGCCAAGTTACCGTTGGCCAACCCACAGGTTACACTGCCAGACACTCATCCCATTCCGCTCTCCCTCCGATGGCTACGCAGCCACCTCCATTAGTGAGCCGAACGGCTCAGGTTGGGTTCCCCGGAACCCATTCCTGTAACACACAGGTCACAGCCACAATTCTGGGTGAGCAACTCGTCCAGAATGTTCCCATGCTTACTGGGCACTGCCACCTGGGTGTTCCCTCCAGGTCACACTACACAACTCTAGGAGCTGTATAGTTGTGGGCATGTGACCCAATCCTTTATATAGCAACCATGTGGGGAGATGAGACCTTTACTGTCACAAACCTCTCGGTGCTAAGAGCGTGAGAATGGAGTGGGATGGAGCAAGAGTTGTGAGATCATGAGAAGCGAGGTCACGAGCAAGAAGATCACAAGCCACAAGTCACAAGATCACAAGAAGTCAATTCAGGTTGGTGACCTGTGTTGACCAGTTGAAGAATCCATCTTCACTGGTCAACTCCTTATATACACAAAAGCAGGCTAAGACATGCAAGATGAGACAGGAGAAACATCTGAGCCATACAGGTAGTCGCAAGACTACATGAATTGAGATGAAACTGAAATGAACAAGACATGTGAGACACGTGAGACACCTGTCAAATCCGTCTGGGGTTACAGCTTAACCGTAACATTTACCCTTCTTCTCATCTCATGCCCCACATAGGCAAGTGTATATATTCCCTTTCTTTTACTATACATCTCATGCCCCGCATAGTGTGAGGACAGGATAGATGGGGGTTGAGGTCAGGGAGCCTCCGAGTCCAAGGCCGGGCCCTGACACATCCTGGCCATTCAGTTTCATTCATTTGTTGCAGATGTCCTCAGATGTCCTAATTCAGTTTGATTCAATGGTTGCAAATTGTCCCGGAATGCCATACTCATCCATCCCATGGTCTGTGCACATGCTGACCACTGTCTAGAGGGATGTCAAGACTGTTTCCCACGGTCTGAACACACTTTACATAGTTGAACAGCCCCTTTGAATAGCTTCCAGAATATATATTTTGAGACTGAATTGACCAATAAATCATCAAGAAAAACGCAAAATACTTTTTTGGATGCGAGTCTTTGGGTTAGTGTGGCTGTCCACCTTATGTCTGTGCACAGTGCTGGCCACTGTCCAGAGGGGTGTCCAGACTGTTTCCCACAGTGTCAACACACTTTG